AGCAATATTAAATAATCCAAGCACTTATGAAATTTTGAAACCTGAAGATTTTGGGTATGTTATTATGCAATTTTATAGTTTATTATTAAATGAATATGCCTATAACTGCTAATATATATTTGTCATTTTATTATTACTTTATTAATACGAAGCAATCTTACTGACATGCTGCTTTTTTCTTTTAAAAAAATGTATTATATAGAATGACTAGATATGTATCAATTGGACATCGGCTAACTGGTTGGAATGCAGTAAAGAATCGTGTAGAACAATTAGATTTAAGTTTAACAGATGAACAAATTAAAAAAGTTACAACTAAAATTAAAGAATTGGCAGATATTAGACCTCAAAGCATGGAAGATGTAGATAATTTATTAAGAAGTTATCATCATGTTGTAACTACTGGTGATCAATCCAAAGTAGATATTTTCTTATCAACTACTGCTACTGTTATTAATTAATCTTTTTGGGAGAGGGAAAACGGGATAAAAAATGAGAGAGAAAAAAAGGAAACATTTTTAAAAATTTAATTAAATGTTTCCGCCTCTGATTTTTTTGTTTGGAAATTATTATTAACCAAATTTTTTTTTTCATTTTGTATATATAATTAATTAATTAATAAAAAAAAGCATTATCTTAATAAATTTTTTTATGAAATTTTATTTTTTTGGATAAATATTTGCTTATAAGAAAGATCATGAGCCAATTAATCTATTATTAGCTCCGTATTGCCATAATATTAATATATTGAGAGGAGGAAAACATGCATTAATAGATAATGTTTAATGCTTGATAAATAATTGATATTTTGATGTTTTGTCTTTTATTTTTCAACAGATGTGTCGTGTTTACATGAAAATTATCAAAATCCTAGGCTTTTGTGAGATTATTATAACCAAGAACTTTGTCAAAGATTTGTTCACGTGATAATTAGAATCACGTTACATAAACACTACCCAAGAAAAAAATTAATTTTCTATACATGTACAAATAATATAATAAATTAATAATAACAATAAATAAATATATTAATAATAAATTAAATTAAGTAACTTTTTAGTTAAATAAATAAGATAAAATATTTAAATAAATATTCCCAAAACTTTTAATTAAATTAGTGTTTATCAGAATCAGGAACCCAATTTGAAACATAAGAAAATCCTTGGAATTCTTTTTGTGTATCTGCGCTTAACTTTGTATGAACAGGTGTCAATACTGGCACTTCGTTTGTAAATTCCGTATCAAAATTTGAAGTATCAGTTGGGCATGACTATAATAAATATTGCCATTACAAAAAAAAGGATTAATTAAAACCAGTTTTCAAAATAATAATAATAATCTTTAAAAAAAACTTACAATTGTGGGGTAAAATGGTGGCGCAACTTTCTTTGAAAGCATATCATCCCAATTTACACCTTTAAAAAATGGATGTCTCTTAATTTCTTCTGCATCTGCTTGAGATGATCCAAGACGTTTTTCTGGGTCACGAGTCAACAACTAAAATAAAACGATTAGTAAGCATAATCAGTATACACAATAATAACAAAAATCGAAATCGAAATTCCTAACAAGAATCATGACAAAAAACTTTTTTACCTTTTGTAATATGGATACAGAATCTCTAGACATGTTTATCGGATATAAAATCTCATCTTCTAAAATCGCATCAAAAATTTCATCTTCATCTTCACCACGAAATGGTGATTGACCTAAAAGCATTTCATAAATCAAAACACCAAATGCCCACCAATCAACTGCTCTGCCATATCTTTTTTCCAACAAAATCTTGGATTTTTTGATTTAAATAAATAAATATAAGAATAAAATATATATATTAATCAATTAGTATTTACTAATGTGTAAATGTACCTCTGGTGCCATAAACTCAGGAGTGCCACAAAATGTATTTGTAGTGGCTCCATACCACATTTCTTCTTTGCAAAGACCATAATCAGCGATCTTTATATGTCCATCTAGTGTAAGTAATATATTATCAAGTTTCAAGTCTCTATATATGACACCATGTTTATGTAGATATTCTAAAGCAAGTAATACTTCTGCTGCATAAAATCTATTATTTTTAAAAAAAATTTACAATAATTATTATTTTGTAAATGTTATTTTTAAAATGGAAAATAAAGAATACATACTGTGCTCGTCTATAAGTGAATTGTTCCCTTTGAATATGCAACATTAAATCACCACCACTAACGTACTCCATCACAAAATATATTCTGGTGTCAGTCTGGAAACAGGAATGAAGACCAAGTAGGAAAGGATGTCGTTCACGATTAGCAGTTTGGAAAACTCTTTTTTCAGATTTTGTACTAATTTTTAAATTACCAATAAAATAGTTAACATTTATTTTATTTAATAATTTCCAATGAAAAAAAAAAATATTAATGAATAAATACCTTTCGACTTCATCGTTTTCGATGATAAACTCTTTTTTTAAAACTTTTATAGCATAAAGTTGCTTGGTAACTTTTTCTTCTGCAAGCATAACTTTGCCAAAATTTCCCTTGCCCAATACAGAAATAAAAGTAAAGTCATCTAAACCAACTTTGCGAGATTTAACAGATGAAAGTCTTTGCTATTCAATGTTAATAATAAATATATAGATTTATGTATATAAACACAATATACATCCTGACATTAGTTATAATTTATATGTACATAACTCTCTTTGAAAAATCATTATAGTAACAATAATAATAAATTTCTTTTTGCCTACATTAGGATTAACCATGGCTGGTTGTGCGTAGGAATGTGTAGGTGATGAATGAGGAGAATGTTTTTGTAATTGTTGTTGCGATGATGGCGGCATTGAATTATAATCGTCATAAGAAATTGGTGGATAGATCTGTTGCTTTTGTTGTGGCTGCTGCTGATATTGTTGCTGCTTCTGTTGATATTGCTGCTGTTGTTGCTGTTGTTGCTGCTGTTGCTGCTGTTGTTGCTGTTGCTGCTGCTGAGGAGAGTGAAATGGTTGGGATTGTTGTATGATTAAAGGTTGTTTTGGAGAGTAAGGTAAAGATTGTGTAAGACGATGTGGATTTTGTGATGATGGATTTTGTTGCTGGTATTGATATTGTTGTAATAACAATTGTTGTTGTTGTTGTTGTTTATGTTGAGGAGAAGGTGTGTTCCATTGATCATTAGCTACTAAAGTTGTTGATGTTGATGTTGTTGATGTTGATGTTGTTGATGATATTGATGATGATGATGATAGTCTATCACTTGCACGTTGGATCTGATCGATCATTTCACTGGCAGTTCTCATTGGCATACCACAAAAATCAGGAACAAGATGTGTACATTTTGCATGACAAGTAATATGACATTCTGTTTAATAAATTTTTGAAGGTGGTTATTTATTTGTTTAACTTAATAAAACAACCTTAAAAGGGTGTTCAAGTTCAGTAATAAATAATTACCAGAACATTTCTTTGACCCTTTCTTTCCTATTGGCAGCATATAACCACAATGACAACACCAATTTCCAGTAATATTAGTAAGATTCTCAAAACGATGTGGAATACGATGATTAAGTTGTTTATAATCCGAATCCTATTTATTATTATCACCATTATTAATAATAAAATATAAATATTATAAATATTAATATTATCATAGGTGCTTATAATATATGTAAATATTGTAGATAATTGTTTTATTTACCATCTCTGAATTTGATCTGGAAATGCATTTTGTTACAATTTTTGTGTAACATTTCTTATGACATGTTAATTTACAATCTAGTTAAATAATTAAATTAAATCAGATTATTAAATCAAATACCGTTAAACGAAAATATTAAACATCTGTCACACCATCAGATATAATTACCATAACATTGAAATCCTTCTGTAACAAATAATTCTTCACAATAAGCACATTTCATGATTTGATAAAACTGTTGTTGAATAAATTTGTGACCATTCTGTTCAAGTATTTCGCCTTTTTTTTTACGAACAGCGTCCGTACGACCAAGTCCAGCATCTACGGGCCTCTTATTAATGTTCTCTTTGACTATGGAAGCATAAATTTATTAGTAGGTAAAATTATTTATGAATATATCAAATGAATTTAAGTCATTTTCATTTATGTAAATTATTTTACCAAAATTAAGCTTTAATAAAACTTGACCAGCTGGCTCAACTTCAAACCAGGCTTCAATACCATCTGGTAAAGCTGAAGCTTGTTGAGGCAGGCTTGCAACCTGTTGTGGTGACAAGTTAGGTTCTGGAGTTTGCCCGCCACTACTACCGGATACATAACCACCACCATTATTAAATGAATTATTATTAGGAGAGGGTGATCTTTGAACATTATCAAATTGGACATTTGAAGCAGTAACCCAACCAGGACCGTTTTTGACAGCCTCTATTTTTTTTTTTCTTAACTCCTCAACAATATCCGATATTTTAACCCATAAAAGACCAATTGGGACTTGGTGTTGTTCGTGTGGTTTATCGTACAATGTGATTTCAATTTCACTACCTTTCTCCACATGAAATTCAAAATCCTCATTCCATCGATCATTACGAGCAATGCGTGTTTTACCTTTTATTGATCCGTCAATTTTAATTGAAACAGTAGTGTCTAATGGTTTATTTGATCTGTTTGGTACATGGGAAATATGATGTGCTTGGATTATTTGTATTGATAGTTTTCCTGTGATTGGTCGACGTAATCCAGGCATGTTTCTACTTGCCCTTTCTGTTTCATCTTCTATAAAAAGTTTTTAGTTCAAGAGTAAAATATGTTTATTTATCGTTGAAGAATAAAATTTATTTATTTATTTTCTAATTTAAACAACATTGCAAAGTACCTTCATCATCATCCACTTCACCAATATATAATTGTCTATATTTTTGTAAAGATCTAGTCAACAATGAAATTTTTTCTTTACTTTCCATAGTTTTGATTTGAACTTCAGCGATGCTTTTTTTATTTTTTGGATCTTGAAATTGTACGGCACCAATCATCTTCTCCGAGCCTTCTTTAAGTTTTCGTTCAACATCAAGCTTGAATTCAAGTTCATGAAGTTTCAATGAAACCTTTTGTGGTGTGATTGGTGTACTTGATTTTATAAGGTCTGTGTAATGGTAGAAATTATCCAGAAAAGAGAGAATCAGGATGATCAGTTCTAATATAATGTTTTATTTTTTTACTCTAATTTTGATCTAAATTATTACTAATATTACTAATTTTTCTATTATTATTGAATTAGGAAATAAAAAACTTGCCTAAATTAGATAGAGCAGGCCTTTTATGTGGTGTATGCAGTGATGAATTTTTTTGCTGCTGCTGCTGCTGCTGTTGAAATTGTTGCTGTTGATTTAAATTTTGTTGTGGTGGATATTGATAAGGTTGACCATAATTATTATTATTGTTGTTATTATAGCCAACTTGTGGTTGTTGTTGTTGGTAAGGATCTTGTTGTGGGTATTGGTATTGTAATTGTTGTTGATTTGGAGGAGGAGGATATGAGTAAGGTGAATTAGTAGCAGATTGAGGACTCATTGGTGATGGTGATTGCAGCTGTTGTTGAGGTTGATAATATCCACCACCACCATATCCAACTTGTGAAATATTATTTTGTGATTGTGGGGGAGGGAATTGTTGTTGTTGTGATGGTGTAGGAGGAAGAGGACTACCGCCACTATTAATAATACCGCTTTGTTGTTTAAAATGCAATTTTTCTAATTCATTTGTTAAATAATCAATATTCCTCGAAGAATCTTCAATGTTACGTTCACATTGAGCTTGAACTACTGTATTGGGAGTTTGTGACTTTACTTTAATGGCTGCTTGGCGAATTTGTTCTTCTTTTTTAATTTTATCATTAACAGACTTGATTTTTGCATCAAGGTCCTATAATCAAACAATATACAACATGCAAAGATGAGTAAATATAAAAATACTTTGTTAAATATAAAATATTTCCTTTGAACTTTAATTAATAAAAAAATAACCATAATTATACTTACCGCCATCGTAATACTTGGTGGGCGATGAGAAGAAAATTATTAAATTTTAGTAGGAAAAAAAATTTTTTTTATCATCGCTACAAATGAAAAGGCTAATTACCACACTATTATTATTAATTGACTAAAGAAAATTACTTTTGCTACTACTATTATTGTCACTACAAGGACCACGAAAGAAAAATAGAACTGGTCTATCTGGTACGATTACTCGACAGGACGTTTCCCTGACAACTCATTTCACTAACTAAACCGACTACCGTGTACAGATTGAATTGGGACTAGTTTTAATCTGCACTTTAGAAAACATCCTGTCGGGGAAATAGGCGCGAAACCATCCAAAGATTTATTTTGAATGCAAGATATTCTGAAATTTATCTCTTTTATCAAATGTTTTTATTAATAATTAATAATTAATAAATAATATTAGGATTTTATTTTATCACCATAACTGCATCTATTAACTACACTAACCCAATTATCAAAGCATCAGTTGGTATTTAGGATTCATACTTGTAATCTATTCAAGTATTCATGTCTATGCTTAATAACTTTACTAAGTAATCAGTTTATATATGATTTTTTTCATCAATAGAATACTATTCTGAGTTAATGGTTTCTTGTTGTTTAGATTCTTCCAATTCTAAAATATCTGACATTTTTGCATCAGTCCAGCATAAAATTCTGGTGTATCTTTCAGTAATTTCAGATCTCTTTTTCGCCAAAATACTCGATAGATTTTTGGCCAAAACTATATACAGTATATCAGATTTTATGTATACGGTTTATCTGACAGACCGCCCCAAAGATTTCGTCCGGGCTATCTTTTTCTTTTATTTTCATATTTGCGGGATCCATTACTTCAGAGATTCTTATTTAATGTTGTAAAGACTTGGCTTGTTATTATTGTTATTATTATTTTATATATAGACACATTAAAATATTAAAATAACAACACTGAAACCTAATAGAGCGAATTAACTTTATCTTGCCAAGTAATGCCAAGTAATATCATAATTCATTGTTTCTTTTATAAAAATATTATTATTAACTATTTAAAACAGATTAGATTTATATTTACTTTTTCAAGATCTTTAATCTATGCTGCTTTATGAACTGCTTTTGGCCAATATTCAATGTTTTTGGTTCATAAAAAATTCTAAATTCCCATATATGCGTTGGTTTGGTTGTTTTTTTTCTTGGCAGTCATTCCATAGTATCTGCCCAAATAATTTATTTTCCAAAATAAAGTATTGATTCTTAATCACTTATCACTTTTTAAATATACTATCATTATTAATGCAATCATTCAAATAATTAATCCAACAAACTCATTATTATTAAAGCTCGGAACGATCCAAGAAATAATAGTAATAGGCTTAAGTTATCGAGCTGAACCCGAACCGAACCTTCAGTTCGACTTGACTTACTCGAATTTGATGTTACGTAATGAATGATTAATCTTGCTATTTCATAATATTCTTTATTTATGCCTAAAAACAATTTAAGAGCCTAATTTCTTGAACTCAGCTTGAACTTGAAAATTCAAGTTTTAATTTGAACCTGTCCAAATTCTGAATAATTCGAATAAGAATGAGTTTATATTGCGAATAGAACCTCCAATTCGATTCAATAATAATAATAAAGATTTTTTAACTGTATGTGTATATTTCAGAAAATTTTTTTATTAGAGCATAAATATTATTAAAACATGGAATCTTAATTGTTTTCATTTGTTATTTTTTGGAATTTTTAGTCCCATGCGATAATTTAATATTATATAATTCATCATTGTTTTACTTTATAATTAATTATTCAATTATCTTCGATGGTCTGCAAATTACGAGTTGACTCAAGCTAATGAGTGCTTTTCACGTATAAACTCAGCTTAACTCAGCTCATTCGGAGCTTTAGTTCAGGCAATTGTTTTTTAGCATGACTTGATGCAGTATTTGGACTAAGCATTTGAGTTATTAGATTATATCTATACAAAAATACCAATTCTCAGTAAAATCATATCTGGACAATTCGTGAAAGGATATTTCGAATACTTAAAATCATATGCCCTAGAAAATGGTATAAAGAGAAATTCTTTAAATGGTCTATCATTGGATAACAAAGAGAATCGGAAAAGACAAACCTCTGAATGAGCTGGCGGAACACTTGGACAGAGTTTCAAATCCTTCAGATGAGATTAAACTAATCTTTGGGCAATTGATTCAAGGATCTGATTCAGTACAAAAAGTCTAATGCAGTTGCGAGATTCGATGAAGAATAGTTCAAAGAATAATTTATCCATGGACTATCTCCTGAAAATTACTTAGAAGCCGTAAGATGCGAATTGGACCTTCCTTCAGTGAATTGTATTAAGACTAGACATGTTCGAGAAAATTCCTTTGGAAATGGTCCATTGACTTTAAATAGTCCAAACCAATACAGTGCAAAAGATTCGAGTAATTATTTTTTCTAATGTTTGCGCTTTAAAATTCTTAGTTTTTATGGAAATTTTTAAGGATCCTTAATATTAACGATACTTTAATATATACTTCTTTCCTGTCACACGAAGTTATTTTTGTTTATGAAAAAAAAAAGGCCATGTAAATATTTATAAATGCAGCTCAAAGTGTCAAGTACACTATTAAAAAAACACCCTTTATTCGGAAATGACTATCAATTATACATGCAATAAAAGTAAATAATGTGTAAATTATGCATAAATCATAAATTATGCACCAAAAACATCAACTATGCATAAATTATGCGATGATATATAAATAATATTCTTTGACAATGTACTTGAATAAAAAAATAACAAGAATGTAATTTTTAATAAAATAGACTATTTCATGGCCAAATGATGCGCATTGATTGCTTGATCACCCACTTATTGACCAAAAAAATTGCAAAAAAAAAAAATTGCAGAGATAAATCCGGTTCCAATCCGGTTGCAATCTGGTCTTCTAATATTAATTAATATTAGAACTAAATAACGTCATTTACATTTTCATATAATTTATATTATCTTAACCAATAAAATATCTTTGTTTTTCAATATTCTTTATACGGGATCTATTATTCATTTTACCGACAGCTCTGGGTGTTACATTTAACCTCCACATAATAATCAATAAAATGCTAATGGCGCACCGTATCACTTTATACTTATTCATTTTCGTCAAATGACAAGTGTCTTCAACCAATAGAAAACCAATTTCTCGAGGATATATTCACTAAATGTTACATCATAATTTTGAGAAAAATGGACGAATTGCATAGTAATAGTAATACATATTTTTCTATTTTCTGGGCCCCATGTTCGATTTATCACATTATCAAAAAGAGAATGTCATTGTAGTATACAGCTCACTCCTTCTATAACGAACCTTTGGGCTGGGCAAAAAAAACAAACATATATAGAAATGTAAAATAAGAAATTTGTATAAAGTGTGAACTTGTTTTTCTATTTTAGCTTGTTTAGCTTCCTTTAATTAGTACAAAATGTTGACCATTCATTATTGAATGGCGAGCGAGTGTAACAATAGTAAAAACAAATAACAACAAAAACCTGAGGTTGTATGCATTATTTATATTATATTACTATGTGAAGATTGAAAATAATTAGTTGCATATATAGTTATTCATGGAAATATATTCAATGTTATTGTGGATTGTGTTATTATCTATAATTATGCAAATGGTCGTGGTTTTGCCTTTATTTATTTATATAGTTTGTAGGAAACAAAATTTGTTTTGATATTGTGTTACTTTTGAAAGTAATAGTAGAAGTTTCTAACTGGTGTACACTTCTATCATAAAATAAATAATAGAATAATTCTTCAGATTGTTGGTCAATATATATTATTGTTAATAAAGAAATTCTTCAATAAATTATTCTTCTTAATCATTTGTTTCATGGTCCATTTCAGTTTCATCGATTGCAATTTATTCAAATTTAGATATGGGATGTCATGCTTTTCTTTAAATCCACTCTACCAACCTTCTCATGATGCCTCAAAATCATTTTTATTAAGAGGCCCAGCAAAATCCTTCTATTTTTACATTGAATAATTGCTCCACCCAAATAGCCAATGCTTGATAAACATCATCATATGTCTGCCAAATTTCCTCTTTTTTTTTATTAGAACCCTAAGAGTCATCGTCGATTTTTCATTGCCCTTTAAAGTTTCGCCCACGATACTTTTAATATTTTTTTTTTATTTATTTAAGTCATTATTGGAATTGGTTTTATGATTTGTCAATTAATATATGAAGAGGCCTCCGACCAAATGATAATATATCATTATATCATTATGGTAAAAATCTTTTAAGATCCTGTTTACTTACAAATATATTTTGCACGTCAAAAAATTTACTGTTGCAACAAAATTATACGTCTTAGCCCTTCACAATGCATATATTCATTCAAAGTTTTAGTCAAGATCTATGATGTGATTATTATATGACGAATGGTTTTTAGACGATGATGATAACACGACATTGACCAAACCAGTAATAATAAAAATAACGGAAAAGAGGTTTTAGTAAAATCCGGACTTGAAATCTTGAGGGAGTATGAGAACGAGTGGGCGAGTCAACGAGTAATTAATTTCTTTATCTATACTAAGAATTCCTGTAATGTGCCACATTTTTATATCAGTGTCACATATTAATAAAAGAGGAATATTACAAATTTACTAAAAATGAAATTTTAATTATTTACGTTTCATATTTTAATTTTCTTTTTTTTAATTCTTTTTTCGCCATATTTGGTTAGGTCATTTGTTGTATTCTTATTTTATACATTCTCCATTTTTTTATATAAAACTCTTAAGTTCTTATTTTCTATTATTTTTTCTTAAAATTTTTTTTCATTCCTTTCCAATTTACACTCTCATTACTTGTTATTAATTAAATAATAATAAGTACACCACCACCATACATATACAATTCTCATATCTTTTACTTTTTTTCCTCTTCATCAATAATACATTTATTTCTTGGCAGTGCCTGAAGAAATTATTAAAAAGAACTTTTATATAAATTAATTCCGCTTAATAAATAATAATAATATAAAAATGCGTCCACAATTAATCCTTTCAGCTCTTTTAATCGGTTGTTCTTCATTGGTTGCTGCCTTCTCAAAAGGTGCTCCAGGTTGTGTTGCTGACGCTGCTAAAATGGCTGCAGCAAAGTCTATGGGCATTCAGGGAGAGTTTGGTTATACCGTAACCGCCAAAGAGTTAGCAAAAGGTTATACGCCTGGCGGTCCAGCTGTCAAAGTTACTGTTGGCAGCGCTAAATCATCATTCAAAGGTATATTAGTATATGCCGTTGACGCCAAGAACAACCACGTTGGTACATTCGCAAAACCAGCAAATCTTCAATTCCAAGCTAATTGTCCAGGTGATAATGGATCAGGAACCCTAACACATATGGGTAATTATTATTAACTTTTTTTTATTATTAAGAAAAAAAAAAACCATGTAAATTTCTTTAATAAGTTCTAATTATTTTTAAATTTCCTCTTTATATATATATATATTATTTAGATGCTACCGATAAACCTCAAATGGACTTAATGTGGACTCCACCTGCTAAAGCTGGCGTTGGAAAAATTATGTTTATGGCTACTTTTGTATCAGGAGGACCAAAATCACCAGCTCCCGGATTCCAAGCAGCAAAATCAATACCATATGCAGAACTTGCAGCAGCACCTGGAAAAACTCCTGCAGCTACCGATACCGCTGCACCACCAACAAATACCAATACCACTCCATCACCCCCAGCAGGTTCCACCCCATCACCCCCAGCAGGTTCCACCCCATCACCTACAACTGCCAACCAACCTAGTGGTGGAATCTCCATTTCACAATATTCAAGCTTCGGTGCTCTCGTACTTGCTAATGTTGTCGCTGCTTTTATTTTACTCTAAAAAATGTGTAATTAATTTTAATTAGATAAAATCCATAGATTTATTTATAATTGTATGGTATGTGAGAAAGGATGGTGTTCATTTTTTTAAAATAAAAAAAATATATTTAAGTGTATATGACTCGAGCGAGGCTGGAAAACAAGTTTGGTCGGTTCATAATACCAAATATGGTTAAAATGTTATGCCTGATGGACCATCATGGTCAACCCAGTGATGACTATGCATGTAATATAATAAATAAGTTGCCTAATTAATCATAGTGTAGAGTCAAATTCAAAGCCCTTGAAACAAACCATCCATATCATAGAACTTGTTGCATGTGTGAAATCGAAATTTATAATTAAAATTTTGGGGCGGGGCGTTTGGCTATGAAAATTTCACAGATTCCATTTTCATAACAATGAAATTTAGCAATAAAATATGCAAATCAGTATAAAAAAGTTTATTATAAAACAAACTTTTTTTCCTTAATAAATAAAAAAAAATGGTATCTTCAGATAATGCTATTATTTTAAAGCCAACAGGCGACCCTATGCCACTTGTTGGCTTCGGTACATCGCAGGTACCTGATGCCGATACTGTTTATCATGCTTTAAAAAATGGTTATCGATTATTGGTAAATGTGTTTATATTTAAATTTTTTGTTTGTTTTAATTGTAATTTATTTATTTAATGATTTTGTGCTTTTCTTGATGGATGGGGATATAATGAATGTAGGATGGTGCAGGTGTTTACGGTAATGAGAAAGAAGTGGGCGATGGAATTAAGAAAGCAATCGATGATGGAATTGTTAAACGTGAGGATATTTTCATCACCTCCAAGGTATAAACTAAATAAATAGACATATTTTTTATGACGAGTGAAGCCTTTTTTTAACTACTGGTTCGCAAATAGTTATGGAACACTTTTCATAAAAAAGAACATGTTAGACCAGCTCTTGAGAGAACCCTTAGTGATCTTAAAGTAAAATATTTAGATCTTTACTTGATCCATTTCCCTGTCTCTTTGAAATATGTTGATCCAAAAGAACGTTATCCTACTGGTTGGTATTATGATGCCGAGAATAAGTTTTGCATTCAAGAAAATGTCACCATTAGAGAAACATGGGAAGCCATGGAAGAATTGGTTGATGCTGGATTGGTTAGGGTGAGTACAAATATGCAAGTATTCTGTATGTGTACGTACATTACTCATTCAATTTATCATATATTTGTAGAACATTGGAATTTCTAATTTTAAGGCAGCGTTGATAATGGATTTGTTGAAATATGCACGTGTCAAACCATCAGTTCTACAAATAGAACTTCATCCATACTTGACACAAGAACAATTGGTAGATTATGTAAAATCCCAAGGTTTGGCAGTGACTGCCTACTCATCTCTAGGTGCACTTAGTTATAAATCTTTAGGATTGAAAAATGACCCTCAATTGTTAAAAGAACCTATATTGGAACAGATTGCAAAGAGGCACAATAAATCTACCGCTCAGGTTTGTGGTGAATGAGTGATAATTCCAGTAGCAATAATAACAACAACGACAACAACAATAATATATATAATCCTCGTTATTATAATGATAGGTGGCACTTCGTTGGGCAGTTCAGCGTAATATTGGGGTTATACCAAAATCAAATAATCCAACTAGAGTTGTTGAAAATCGTAAAATCCTGGAATTTACTTTGACCGACGAGGAGGTTAAAGAAATCTCTTCACTGGACAGAAAATTAAGATTTAATGATCCCGGTATAAAGGATCCTGATGTAACTTTTGGAGTTGGAATTCCTATTCACGCTTGAAAATTTTACTTTTTGAGAGATTGAAAAGCACGAGTAGAAATGAATGAAGATTGATACTTTTTATTTGCTAAAGAAATTCCGTAAATTAATAATTAAAAATAAAAATTTTTAAAGTGTTTTTTATTTAACTAAAAACCGCTTGTCTTGGAATTTTTATTCAGGTTATGGTGAAGATGGAGTTGATGGATCAAGTTTTCAATTAATAATCTAATAACTAGCTATTTTTCCTATGCATATAATCTAGGTCCTGGCTAGCAGATTAGTTATGTCATTAATTTATTAAATAACATCTTTAAATATTGAAATTTTTTAATGTCCCACTCAACCTCTAAACATCTAATAAAAATATGCAAATTTAATTTTGCAATTGCATTTTCTATTCATAATAGCGTGTTAATTTTGTAAAAAATGTCCCCACATATTCTAATCAGAATGTGTAAATAAAATAACAATAATTATTATTGTTATTTATGTTAATTAGTGAATTGATAAATTCGAGTTAATTCGTTTGTATATTTCGTTTATCTATCAAATAATTCTTAATATTAACGTGCGTATGCTTTTTTTTTGATAGATGTCTATCGTTTTTCCTCTCTTCATAATTGATCAATTTATCATCTATCCATTCATCAATCTCACTATTGATTCTTCCCTTGTCCAATCCTCGGGAACTGCCTGTCTACTTTACCTCATTCATTCATTCATTCACTCATTCATTTGTTCATTTGTTCATTCTCAAACAATTGTCACTACATCATTTTTAATTTTATTACAATATTGCCAGTTCAATCAAAAATACACTTAGTTCGAGTACCACTAAATTTAAGTACACTTACTTTTTTTTAACGAATTTCATCTTTGTCGATTTTTCTTCTTCCACTCTTCTCATAAATCATTTTCATTAATACTCACCTCACTTCATTCTTTTCACTACACACAATTTCTTCATCTCAGTAATTTGATATTCACTTTATTCTTTTCATTTTATAATCAATCATTTGATTAATATTTATTCTAAAGAAAAACCAATCATCATAAACAAAATGATCACTTTTAAAATTTATTCAATTGCCTCTACATTATATTTGGTTTCATTGTTGTTTTAGTCGATTCAGCTAAAATCGAGTGTACTAAAACCTTTTATTGAAAATTTATGCAATCTTCTTCAGTTGGCTGTGACTCACCATCACAACCAACTTCTTTGAATGTAAAAAGATATAAGCCATTCTGGGATGAATTCGCTTAAAAACTCTCAAATTGCTGTTGGTTACTTCTGAAAACTAACGGTGAATTACTGTGCTCAAGTCAATGGAATGAACGACTCTTTAATAAGACTAGCTCTCGGTTCACGTGTTACAGTTGACACGGCTAAACAAACACCTAGAGATTTAAATAATCTTCCCTTTTGCCAGATGGAGCATCGATGAATTTTAAGATGTGATTCCTTCTTTCTATAAATGAGAATTTAACTCCACCTTCGTCTTCTTCTCTCATTCTACTTCTTTTAAAATCGAGGCAAACCACTCGAAATTAAGACTGATAGCCAAGGTTCTAAATTTTCGGCAGTTGAAAAGAATAGAGGCATTGGTATCATTTTTCTAGATCCAGGAATGAGAACCTTCATAATCCAAGTGACGAAGTTATATAATGTGAAAAAGGGGATATTAGTAGAATACATCGCTTGTGCTTGCATTATATAGGATCCAAGGTGAAATGGATTCTATTCATGGCAAAGCAAATAAGCGTAGGAGGTATAAACCTTGTTCTTGCATACTCCGGAAAATTCGTAATCCTGTGGATGTATGTCATCGAAGATTGGCAAGGTGGTTGTGCAAAAACCACCAAGTAGTTTGCTCTCAAGTTTATTCAAAAGACATTGTTAAAAATTATCCTTCTAGAAAAATCTACTCTAATACTGCAAGACAAATGCATATTGCCGTTTTCGCCGATATTTGCTTCACAAATCTCGTGAGTACCCTCGGCGCAAGGAGGTCGCACTTGCACTGAGAAATATACTAACAAATCATGCGGATGTTGTGGAGTCATCAAGACAAACTTGGGTGGTTCAAAGATATTTAGTTGTACATTTTGCAATTCCATCATTAATAGAAATGTAAATGGAGCTCGTAATATACCTTTTGAAATATATCACAGAATACAACAAGATTCGTTTGCGACATTAGGGCCTACACCTGAGACGCCTTATTGTAGGCTTAGTATTAGTACGAGGTTAATATATATTTTTTTAAAGGAATTTGGACGAGGTTTGCAATATCCTAATTTTCGACTTATTTACCATTTCTACTAGCCTTGCTAAATTTGGAACAAATTATTTAGAACATTTTAATTTTGTATAACAGAAATGCAAATAAAACTTCTATTAAATGGACGGTAACTTTGCAGCCTGTTCCAATCGCCATATCTAAATACAAATGTCATTAAGGATATTGGTACATGATTCTAAATGTCGACAACCAGATGCTTAGGAGTTTCAGGCTCAATGCTCGCCCATATTCATAATTAGCAAATTTTTTTAATTTTTTTATTGTGCACATAATAAAATTTATAATACTATTGTTTCTTTTATAAATAAAATAAATTTTTTGCAATATAATTCTTCTTCTTTGTGATGTTTTTAATCAACTTTGGTTTAGGTCTTCTTGAAAAAAATTTAAACTTTCGTAAAGTTATTTTATTATGCGAGCATAGCCCCATGATGTATGATGTTAATGTGACGATATTGTACAAAAATGGAAATAGAAGAAACTCATACTTCTATCAAGAAAGTAATAATAGCATTCCAACAAAAGATCATTTAGTAGAAATGAATTGCCGTTTATTCCAAAAGCATAATGATGGAACAAGGTGGTAGATACTATTATATATATGATGGGGCAGAACTTATATTATACAGTTTAATTTAGCTCTCGTCAAAAAGTTCAGAAGCTATTAATTAGCAAATTATGAAGATTTCATTGAATAGAACTAGTGTTTTTTATTTAGGAACCTAATTAGTTCAACAAAAAGTAATGAGTTATATCAATATCAATATTAATTAATATGTCTATATACATTTGGCATTTCCGTTGTATTACTAATTACTACTATTATAGTTACTATAAACTTTCCAATTCATTAAAGGAAAATAATTTCTTTGAATGATAATGCAATCAATTAATTTCAACTTTACAAAAAATATTTTGTTAATTGGATAAATTTTTTTTAAATAATTTATATTATTAAAGATAGTAGGTTCACAATTATTTATCAAATGAATTTACTTGATTAATCGATAACTTTATTTTGGAAACCAGTTAATTCTGCAATGGGATCACAAAAAATACTTGGCGAGATAAATTAATTCGCTTTATTGGATATATAAAATAAAAAATAATATAAATTTGGTTAATTAAAATTCATGAAATAAAAAAATTTTCCGAGATAATAGATTCTGCAAGGCAAATATGGAAATAATAGAAAAAGAATAATCCGAATGAAATAATAGGTAATGTAAAACGGAAGATATTCTTTGACTGCCCCACCTGCTACTAATATTTCAAGATGTACTTCCCATTCTTCTAGAGTATTTCCCCATTCGTCATTTTCATTGGCAATAGCTTCACCAAGAAGTCCAAGATTTTTTAGCCTTTTTTTTTTGATATTATAAAGTACTCCAAACAATTGATTGCTGCGTCTGACTTATTGAGTTTATGTGTATAAATATTATACACAGTATTAGTACATTCAATTAAAATTGTATATGATAACAGAAGAGAACGTCCTATATAAGGAATGGATTTTCACAATTGATTTCAATTTTTTTTATACAGTTTAAAATACTTTTACAAGGGTATCATGTAGCCCATTCTTACAATAAATCATGTGCAAATAATTACACAAACTTGAAGCTTTACACTTTGTTGTTATCATATCTTTTGAATCCCTTTGAATCCCACAACTTTCATAATACGATTTACTTGAAGAAAAATTGCGTGAAATTAAACATTGCACAGAATGTAAAACCACTGATTCAGCTAAATTTCGTCAACAAAAGGCAATAAATGGAAAGAAGCTGAGAACAACAACTTACTGAAGGTAACGTGTTGTTTTATGTAACATTTGTTATATGAATTTTGTAGAAAATCCTTTAAAAAGAGAACCTAGGAGAGTAAAAACCACAGATGCGGAAGAGGAAGAGGTAAATGAAAAGATTGATTTCACTAGAGCCATCAAGGTCCTATATACGATTTTGATGAAATACAAAGATTGCTCCAAGAAATAGAACCAAGCTTGAAGCGGTTTTTTGACCAACTCTATTTAGCAGCTCAGCCATTTGAACATAATGAACAAATAATGGACCATATGAAGAGATTAATGGTGGTGTTCATGTGTTATCTTCTTCTTGTTTTATTAAATAATACAAAATCAACTCTTTTAAATTCGACCTTTCATTCTATTTAGACTCGGTAGATACAAGTCTTGGAGTAGCTACAACATCAAGAGCAGTAGATCGTAAAAAGAAGCAAGTTGCAGATGAACATGAGAATGCACTTACAAAATATTCAAAAAATACATTCTTGTTGAATGTT